TTTTGGTCTTCAGAGACTTAAATTAAACATTTAGGCTAAGTAAAAAAACAAATGAATAAAAAGAGTGTAATGTCTTATGCTTTTGTTGGCGGGAAAAAATATTTATGGAAATAAATAGCCTAAAACCATGTACAGACGATCCCGCGTCGCTTGGACAAAATAGTTGGTATACCTTCAGAATTTTTACGTGATGGCGTGACAAAGGAAGAATCGGTTTCGTTATGTATGCCTATAGAGAGAAGATATATTTACTTACGTGACTAAAAAGAAGTCAGAAGAAACATCTAGTCTAAAATATCTGTTCAAATCGGACCTTGAGCTTTAACATTTAAAAAAATAAAAGGCACGAACTCAGCAAACACAGTCCACATTACACCTCAGTCCTTAAAAAAGTAGCCACAAAGACTCGCACTATAAAAATAAATAATAAAAACTTTACAAGAATCTCGCAGTTTGGCGCGAAGTAGTCTCTGGATAGGTCGCAGTCTCATCGGAACATAGCATCGCATCGCATCATGATCAAACATATCAAATTTATTAAATGACTAGCAGAACCCGTGGCTTCGCTCGCGCTAAAACTGTTTAAAAATCTCTAAAAAGTTAGTTTCATACAAACTTTCATCCCCAATTTTACCCCTTTATAGGATGAATTTCAAAAATGCTAAAACAATTATTTGTTTAAATTTATTAAAAAGCATGAATACCAAGTTTCAAGTAATTCTGATCATATATATTTTTTTTGAATTGTATTATAACGTGTTTTTCTGTGGGAATTAGGTAACCTCCCGCAGTAAAAAATAGCCCATGTCACTCTCCAGCCCTCCAACTATCTCCACACAAAAATCACGCTTATCCGTCACTCCGTTTCGACGTGAAAGATGGACAAACAAACAAACACACTTTCACATTTATGATATGGAAAGTATGGATATGAGATGCTCTTATAAATTTTTATAGAGATAAAAATGTCTCAAATTTGAAGAAAAAATGTATTACTATACTTATCGTTTTGTAAACTTTGTTTTTTGGTATGTTCTTCTTTGACACAAAAACTGAGCAACCTATCGACATGATTTTATATATATCATGTATATTACTATACAGCCTTTTTATCCCGTGGGATATCCCGTGCCCGGAGGTCAATATATTGCAATAAGAAGGGCGTATGTTGTGTGGTGTAGTCTACAAATCATAAACACAATTCTAATTATTTCATTTTGTATTTTGATTGTGGAATATGTTTAATACTATAAGATTAAAAAAACTGAAATCAAATCTGATATAAAAGTAGTAAGGTATTTAGTATAGACTATCGACTCACCACCGCTTCGCTCGGGTCCGTCCCTAGGTACGTTTTCACAGTTAGTATGAAATACAAATCTTTGCATTTCTCGGCTTTTCTGTTCTAAAATATCCATGTATTATACATATAATCCTTCCTCTAGAATCACTCTATCTATTAAAAAAACCGCATCAAAATCCGTTGCGTAGTTTTAAAGATCTAAGCATACATAGGACAGACAGATAGCGGTAAGCGACTTTACTGTAGTGTTATACCTGCTGCTACACCTATGAGTATTATTGATGTATTTCCTAGCCTTTATTTATTAAAAATCGAAGAGCATCATATCATAAATTTTCATATAATTTCTTTAACATATTTTAAACAAAGCCAATACATAGCTAGTGACTGCTATATTCAGTGTTGCACCAGACTTAAGGACCCACTCTGATGTTCACTTGTGTGGCAAGTTTTGGAAACGATGCAATAGACAAAAGCTACTGTTTCACAGAGCTTAATTATTTCTTACAGTGTGAATGGGCTTTGAATGAGCATTTCATCGTATCTCTGTATCTCGTTGTGTGGTACAACGCTCAGTCATCGGATTTTGTTTGTTTTATACAATCATACTCTTCATTACATCATGTTAGAGGAAGAAAAACTCGGCTATTATGGTCGAAGAACAAATATCTGAGTAATATTAATCTGGTATTGCGCAACCGCATCAAGTGAACTCAGTGTCCGAATTCTCTAAGAAGTAAGTTGCAGGTTTGATATCCATTTTGAAGATGTCCATAATGAAAAAAAAACATATTGATTATAAAAATAATATTCCATTTTTAACCAAACTGCTGCTTAGGTCATATTTTTCTTAATAAATTGGAAAAAAAATTATAAAGCGAAAAATATCTTATTATAATAATTATACTTCCATCTAGTTTCTACTTGTTGCGGGCGCGTATTTGCAAACTCGGTCTACATTATTTGCTCCATTAATACGCCGCCGGCCTCAGCAAATATCTCAACATGAGAACTTGTGTGGGACTGATGCACAGATTTCTGAGAACTTTTGATACTGGTTCTACAAAGAAATCACTTTTCACACAAGATCGCGCTACTTTAGAAATCTACTGTAGATAAAATAAAACTCTATGTCTGTATTTTTAATATTACTGTCCAAATTACTACTAATTCTAATAATTTGATTACTATTATTAAAGCAGAATTTTGTGTGTTTATTATTTCCATAAACTAAAACGGCTAGATGACTATAAATGAAATTTAGTATTTATGTAAATAGACTAGATCTAGAATATTAGGCTACTGTTAGTAATAAAACTAACTATAAGGCCACCTATTGTAGTTATAAAAAAAAAAAAATATATATATACATGAATAGTCATTAATCATTGAACTCAAAAGAATATATTTCAGAAATTTTGTTTGATGTATGTATTTAACCCTTTATAAGGTCCCACTACTGGGCGTGGGCCACGCTTCAAGACGAGAGGGATCTGGCCATAGTCCACCACGCTGACCAAGTTCAGGTTGGCGGACTTCACACGTCTTTCGAAAACATGTTAGATTTTTTCAGGTTTCCTCACGAAAGTTTCCTTCACCAGAAGACAAGTGGTAACCACGTTGGGAATGTCAGAGGTGCAACACCCGGGATTTGAACCCGCTTCACTTCGTTTTCCAACCAAGTATGCCACTCAGCTACTTTTCCTTTCAGAACTGTTGCTTTCAAGAAATAAAAGAGATACTATTTTCTAATATGTAGATAAATAAAAGATATTGTAAGATTAAATATGTAATAATCTATTCAGCGTTAATACTTATGTTAATGAATGTTTACAGTCGCGTAATGAACGAGCGCTCAAAGAACCAATATTTCATTGATCGGTCAACACTCGACGTCAAAACGTAACATTTTAACGATGACTTTATAACTTTCACGGATTCCATTTTATAATACGATATACTTCTACTGCCTTGTCAAAATTCACAAATATTTTTATTATTTTAGTAATATACTACATAATATAGAGAAAAAGATTTTTGGTAAGTTCGTTTATAGGAAACTAGCGACTCACCCTCGCTTCGCTCGAGTTTGTCCCTAACTTGATTCCCCATACAAACTTTCATCCCTATTTTCACCCACTTAAAGGATGATTTTCGGGATAAAAATATCCTATGTCCTTCCCAGGGTCTTAACCTATCTTCTTAGAAAATTTTATCTAAATCAGTTCAGTAGATCCAGTAGATTCAGTAGATTAACCCTTACAACGTCACAAACTCACAAATTTTACCTCTTTATAATATTAGTATAGAAATACATTTTATTAAACTTTCTCTCTAAGCTTTAAGCATAGTAACTTTGATTTACTGTCCCTCTGTTAATATATACTTTTATAATAGTATTATAAAGAGGGAAGATTTGTTTGTTTGTCAGTACCGAATAAGCTCCGAAACTACTGAACTGATTTTAATGAAATTTGATAAGAAGATAGTTTAAGTCGCTTGTTATCTAGTTTTTATCTAAATACAGACATCACTATTATTAAAACTAATTTGATTGACCTCAGCGCTTAAGTAAAAAGGTAGAGTCAGCCTGTCGAAGTGAACATAGAGCTAGCTGTCGTAGAACCATGTGTAGAGCGTTAACGAAATACAAATATTGGTGAGCGGGCGACACACACTAAGACTAATTCCAAACGCAAAGTATAGTTTAAACTAAATGCTTCTACAAAGCCGCTATTAACAGATTACTCCACGTCATAGGATTCGACAATTTACAATCTTTAAACTGTGAATACAAGTTGTTAACGTTGTTATTGATGAATGATATTCTCGTTGCAACACTTATTATTCATGAGCTTAAGAATTTAAAATGATTATCGCATTTATCTCCTACTTAATATTATATTACTTGAAAATTGATTTATTTTGTTCAAGTATCTAAGTGGCTTATGTCGTGTAACATCTTTATTATTTCGACATTTTGTTATTGAAAGAAATGATGACACGTTTGCCTCAGTTTGTAGTGTTACTTGCTGTTCCAGCGGTCGCGGGTTCGAGTCCCACTGGTGGCATTCATTTGTATGATGAGTGCAAATGTTTGTAAAAGAAAAGTTATATGTGTAGTGTATCAACTATCTGGTATCCATAACACAAGCCTAGTAGCTTACCATGGAACTAGATGGTGCTGTGTTAATGTTCTGACATATTTATTTATTTTATTTATAGAAAACTTAAGTTCTAAGTAAATCTGCATTTGATCATAACATCTTCACATTATTATTATTTTAATATTGTAAGTATATTTATAGCTCTGCACAATACTAAGGTCGATTCAGGTAGAAGGTCTCGTGAAATGTATCGATATAGTGCAAGTTTTGTACGGAGCATGCGAAGTGGGAGTCACGCAAGGTGATCCATTTGTACCGGCGTTTTATTTTTTATATGATTCCTTGATTGTTCGACGGATGTTGTAAATTATATTAAAAATTAAACAAATATCTCGAAAATTTGATAAAGTTAGTTCGTATAACATTAAAAGAAATCATTACTAAATTGTAATCAGCCCTTTTTTAACGTCCCACTGCTGGGTCACTGGCTGGGCTGGAGATCCACTACGCTGGCCAAGTACAGGTTGGCGGTCAGTTATCAAATTATATAGACTAAAATAAACTTTGATTAAATGTATTGGCTAGATTTAAGGCAATGGACCTACCTGCACCCTGCTCTCTGTAAGGCCGATGCGCATCGCGATTTCTTCTCGCATAAAAATATCTGGGTAGTGAGTCTTCGTGAAGCATCGTTCTAACTCGTTTAGTTGTGCCGGCGTGAACCTGTACAAAAATATAAAATAATCGCCTGCCACACTAAGTAGGTATGTTAGTAATTATAACAATTATTATTATTTTCAATTATTAGTTATAGTATTATTAATAATTATTATGATTGATAATTATTATGATATGATTACAAGTCCTCATTTTTGTTTTTTATCAAAAATCTTAAGGTCAACTCTCATATGATACTAACATGACCTTTTTGTACTTCCATTAATTTACAAACATTAGGTACGAATTCATCATCTTAAATGGTAATATATTAACATCAGTTTACCATTTTTTTTTTACTTAACTAATAGCTAGTGCTTAAATTACTACGTATAAAAGGTAGCACTCGTACATGTTTTATTTGCATTTAAAACTGTTTACCTGCTTACGTAACACAAGTTAGAGTTAGGCCAGTAGTTCACTAATCAACGTATGTAAAGGTGCGTACATACATATACACCAAGGCTTTCAGTTCCTTTACATTGTATCATTCTTGACACAAACATTTAATTTTAAATATTAAAATTTTTATTACTTGTTTTCTTTTTGTTTATATTTACACTTTTTAATAAATAAATAACTCTAATAATATATTAAATTATTAGCAACTATAAGGCACTGTATCATTTGGTAGCCTTTTAGGATAATACTAGTAAAATAGCAAAAAATTGAGAATGAATAATAATATACATATAAAACCGAGATAAAAGATTAAGGAAGACGGAGTGAAAAATAAAGACAAGAAAATAGACATAAAGATGGAAATATTTAAAAAAAAACGTGTGTGTGTACTTACGAGTATGTACGCACGTAAGAAGTTATATTTCTTTAGCGTAACGAACAAAAATAGCTAAAGATTTCATCCCGTATGTCACAACTCTCTGTTTGTAAAATTAAATGCAGCTAACATCATCATATCGCTTTCAGTTTACTTCATCATGTCGCTTTTTGGCTGTCGGTGTGCGCACGCATCGTAAAAATTTTACTCTCATATTTTTTTCCAAACGTGCCCAAAGCAGTATAATTTCAAAAACATAAAAGCTTCTAATCTAAACCACATTACCTAGTTCTATGCCTTTTCTGCTTAGCTGGCTTGTCGCTGTCTGATGCTGAAGAGGACATGCTGACGGGCACTGTGGACATGTGCCCACTGTGCTGCTGGTGGATGCCGCCTGCAACAACACTCCCATAAAACTCGATCCAGAAAAAAATGATTGTTGCTATCATCACTGTTAAATATAATGTATATAGAGTTGATAATTTATATAAACTTTACTACCATAAAATTCTATTCTACAGAAAAAAGACAATTGTTATTGATATATATAAATTATCATATACATATTTATCATATAATACGATATTGCTATACTTTGCTTAGTTCCCTTTTACTTCATATAATATTATGATATTATTTAAAATTCTTAATTAAAGTCAAGACACCGATATGGTTTCTCCACCACACCACCATCTGCTTAAATTATCTATTTCATGAAATATCTGCGGTATTTTATAAATAATTTAATTTTAGTTTGTTGTTTTTTCTGATTTATTTATTCTTATAATTAATTAATTAATAAAACATGTATTAATTGATTGATTCTATAAATTGACAACTTTTTATTTATAAACTGTTTGAAATAAAACAAATACTAAATGTTACGTGAAACTTACCACAATACATTAGTGAAAACCGCACCTAAATCGGCTAAGCCGTTTCTGAGATTAACGCGCACAAACGCACAGACAAACAGACAAAATTTCTAAAAACCATTGTTTTGGGTTATATTGCGTTAATATAGACTCCCAATAATAGTTTTTCTCGAATATCTTCCATGTACAGACAGCGATCACTTACATTTTTATTATATGAACCTATAGATTAGCAACTACAAGAATTTAGACATCATTTGATTTGGTAGTCTTATTAGGAGTATTCTAGCAAAATTTTTTTTTTTTTTTTAACTTTTCTGCACCGCGGCAATCTGTTAGACACAACAATAAGCCACTGTTTTGTCTGATACTTGTATCTGTTTTGGCTTTATAGCTTGGTGAAACACTTTTCAAGTAGGTGTCTCATTCCATACTGTTGAATCTATTTTGTAGGGTTGGAACACTATGTCTCTTTAATCTTCTATGTTTAAGTCCTTGATCTCCGCTGATTCTGAGGGCAAGCTCATTTTTGTGATTTGAGAGTCTTTTCTGGTAGTTGATGCTATATTTCACTATCTCCTGTTTGACAGTTGGTACATTTAAGTCAAGATATATGTACTTATTACTGATGTATTGAGGGATGTTAAATATGGTCCTCAGTGTTTTGGTTTGAAATCGTTCCAGTATCTATATGTTACTGGTGCTGGCCGTACCCCAAAGCTGTATGCCATAGGTCCATATTGGTTTCAAGATGGCTTTATATACTGCCAACTTGCTGTTTGTGCTCATTTGTGAGTTTCGTCCTATTAACCAGTATATACTACGTAGTTTTAAATCTAGTTGTTTCCGTTTTGTCCATATGTGTTTTTTCCATGTCAGCCTACGATCTAAGTGCATGCCCAAGTATTTAGCATTGTCGTCTTGCGGGATTTCTTCGTTATTAAGTATAACCGGTGGACACGTGTCTCTCCTGAGAGTAAAGGTCACATGTGTTGATTTACTTTGATTAGCGTGTATTCGCCATATTTTAAGCCATTCTTCAATTTTATCAATGTGGTGTTGTAGATGTTCTGATGCGGTTACTGGGTTCGTGTGTGTAGAAAGTATGGCTGTATCGTCGGCATATGTTGCAACCGTAGTCTTTTCTACGGTTGGAATGTCAGCAGTATATATGGTGTAGAGCACTGGTCCTAGTATACTTCCCTGTGGCACTCCTGACTTGATCTCATATAGGTCGGAAAGTTTATCGTGGAACTTTACTTCAAAACATCGCTTGCTGAGATAAGACTTTATTATGTGGTAAAACGAGTGTGGTAGCATCTTTTTGACTTTATACAATAGGCCCTCGTGCCACACTTTGTCAAAAGCCTGGCTTATATACAAAAAGACTGCTGCACAATATTTTTTTTCTTCTAACGATCTGCTTATAACGTCAATGATGCGGTGAATTTGCTCGATCGTTCCGTGGTTCTCCCGGAATCCAAATTGGTGATTTGGGGTGATGTCACTTAGGTGTACTTGCATTCTTTTTAGTAACATTTTCTCGAGGAGTTTCCCTATTATAGGCAAAAGACTTATAGGTCGGTATGACGCTACTTCATTAGGTGGTTTACCGGGTTTAGGTAACATTTTTACCTGGGCTATTTTCCATCGTCCTGGGAAGTGGCTAATTCTTATGCAGGCATTAAATATGTTGACAATTGCTACTATACCCTTTTTTGGCAGATTTTTTAAAAGAACGCTGTCAATTTGTTCGTATCCCGGTGCTTTGCCATCCTTAAGGTGTTTTATGTCACCAGCTACTTCGGTAGGGCTCGTATATTTTAATGGGAGACACATTTGCTGAGGACTTTCCAGATAACTTTTTATTTCGCCGTTGTGCTCTGGTTTTATTTCAGGAAATGGTTGAAATACTTTGCTAAGGTGTTCAGCAAAGGTTACAGCCTTCTCCGTGTCTGATCTGGCCCAATTCCCGTTACTTTGTCTGATAGGAGGGATTTGATAATTGGGACGTTTTAATTTCTGTGTTGCCTTCCATAGTGAGTAATTTGTGTCTAAACTTGGGGTCAAGTTAGAAAGGAAATTTTGAAGGTTATTGTTGGTAAAACTTTTAATGAGGTCTTTTAGTTCGTCCGAAGATCTGTTGAACGCTGTTTTGTCTGTGGGGTATCCAGTTTCGTGCCATACTTTTCTTAGGTGACGACGTTCCAATATTTTGTCTTTGATCATTTTCGGGTATTTGTTTTTTAGCGGTAATTTTTCTTGCACTTTTGTGGAACTAGCGGCTGCTTCATGTATGATTTTATTAAGGTTCTCAATAGCCTCTTCTATATCTTCCACTGTTTTTAATGGATTTATGAGCTTAATATATATAATATTATGAGCTTAATATAATAATCTAGCAAAATAGCAAAAAAATTTAAAATTAATAATAATAATACCGATACAAGACATACATATGTGCATAGAGTGAAACAACGATAGAGAAAGAGAGTCAGTTATAAAATTTTAATTATGAATATAATAATAACTCTTATTTGGGAGGTTTTTTAAAAATTTAATGTTTATTATTTGTATGTTGTTATTCCTTCAAACTTAAACGGCTGGACGGATTTAGATGAAATTTAGTATTATAAATAAAACTATCTTCTCGGATTATTTCGCGGAGTTATTTTGATTTTTGGTTCCCGACGTTTCAAATGCTTTACAGTAATAAGTGGTAACGCGCTCGCTTGGGAAATCGAATGTAGCGGGTTCAAATCCCGGGTCTCGCATCACTGACATTTTCATGTGCGAATTATTTCCAACACGATCAACACTTGTTTTACGGTAAAGGAAAACATCGTTATAAAATCTGCATGTCTGAAAGAGCCTAGCAAGTTATCGAAAGACTTGTGAAGTCCGCCAACCTTAAGTGGCGTAGTGGACTATGGCTTGATCTCCCTCGTGTTGAATGGAGACCCACCCCCAGCAGTGGGACGTTAAAAAGGGCTGAATATAATAGTAAGTACCTTGCAGGTGGTCGGCTCGTATGGAGTGCGCGAGGAGCCGCGCGGGCGCATGGTGCCGCTCCACGCTCGGCTTGAGCTCGAGCTTGCTCTCTGAGCACTGCTCTTTGTGACCTGCAGGATATTGTTATGTATTTAACACAGGTTTGGAGTTATTATATAAGAGTTTAAGGTAAAATGAATAAATTTTTCTAAATAAAAATGTATGTGTATTGGCTTGTAATGTTATGTAGAAAATTACGAGAGCTCTTATAAGGCTAAGGATATGACCTAAATTTTGAATTGTTATTAAAAATATTAAAGTTATCTGTCAAATAGTCTTTTATGAAAAATTATGTGTTATCGGCTGTTTCAATGTATTTTTTTTATTTTATATAATAAAGATCTATAGTCCCGCTGAGTTTCTTTTGGCAATAGTTATTTAAAAATTCTATTAGCCTGATTTACCTAATCATAATAGAGAAAATAAAATTTAGTTTAGAAATTAAAATAATTCACAAAAAATTAAGATTTGTATAATTATTTTTTTTAAATATTTTAATTATAATATTTACTGCTTATAAAATAAAACTTGCATGTTATTAGTAAAGTAATTAATTAATTTTTAATTTTTCTATATCAAAAAACTATATAAAACTACATAGGTACTATACTAAGTGACGTATATTAAGATATTTAAAGGCCCAACATCTTGTACTTTTGGAGTGCATCTAATATAAATATTAACTAATAATTAATGACCAGACATGTTCACAAAACAAATAAGAGAAATAAAGCATTTACTTATATGTAAATAAATTCTTTCTTACATTTTCAAAGGGATTTATATTTATATTTTCATTCTTATATTTAAAACAAGAGAGTAGTTAAACCATAATATTTGACCAACAATTTCTAGCTTATTAATGCAATTGAAAATCCATAATATCCATATTAATATTATAAATGCGAAAGTTGTGTTGTTTGTTTGATTGTTGGCTTGGTTTTTTGTGTGGAGATAGTTGGAGAGCTGAAGAGTCACATAGGGTGCTTGTTGCCGCGAGAGATTATCTCATTACCACGGAAAATCACGTTATAATACAATAATACAAGGCAAAAAATATTTATGAACAGAATTACTTTAAACTTTTATTAATGCACTTCAATACAATAAAGTAAATATGTAAAATAGGGGATAAAAGTTTGTGTGAAACCAACCTTTTTGGAGTATTTATTTTAGTTTTAGCGCGAGCGAAGCCGCTGGTTCTGCTAGTTAATTAGCTATAACGTGATACTGAATAAAGAAAAAGTTGTAGTACAACAAACACGTGGGCTTTGCTTGACGATAGTATGCGTGAAAGATATTTGAAGAAGAAGACAGTAGGTGAAATTATTTTTAATTATATACGTTAAGTTTTTATCAAATAAGCTTACTAAAGATGACATTATCTCAAACTTATGAAAATCTACCCTAAAAAGTTTCAACTGCACAGCTATATAATTGCCGGAAGCAGAATCTCTCCGGATCACGGGGATCAAACTCACTTTATGAGTTTGATGGAATTGGAGCTCGTTAAAAAGAAAGCGTTAAGTGTATGTTTATGCTGAACTTAAATTTTTATATAGTCTATATAGACTTTTTTAATACTTGTTTGTTTGTTTATTTGAACGCGCTTATCTCAGAAACTACTAATCCGATTTAAAAAATTCATTTTGCATTAGATAGCCCATTTCTTGAGGAAGGCTATATATACTCCATAGTTATCGTTAAAACGTAGGGAAGAACTCGAACGAAGCGAGGGTGAGTCGCTTGTAGTGATATATTAGTACTTAATTCGGGTATCTTTGTTGATGTGTGTTACACGATATGTTTCCCAATAATTGTAAAGAGATTTTGATTTTTATTTAATAAAAAAAATATGGCTATAAATCCCCTCTAAAATAGAAAAAAATATTTCTTTTAAACTTTTAAGCTAGTGTACTTTTTTAATTAAAAAGAGATTAATTATTAGATAATTTTAGGAAGTTACCTGATAGAATCCACAGTGTAGAGATTCGCAGATTGGAAGAGTATGACATTAACAATGAAGAAAAACGTGGCTAAACTGCTTGGGCAGGTAGGATAATTAAATGACAAAAAAATGGTTAAATAATATGATGTGGAAGAGGTAGAAGAGGAAGATTTCGGAAAAGCATGGAGACTTCCAGACGATCGTATATGAAAAGAATGGTAACAATAGAATGAAATGAATGAATGGCGAATGAGGTATGTAGAGATCATAGCGCTTGATACTCTGTTTTCTCCGTCTACCCGCAAAGGATTTCTTAGATAAGTTTAAATGTATGTATAAAAAATCCACTTGTATACATAAAAGTTAAAAATTGACTTGTATACATAAAAGTAAATAAAACTATAGATTGGTTATAATTCACTTAATAATATCAAATATACGTTGAGTGCCAATACAATACATAATTTTAACTAAGGTTTCAATTGTACCTACTTATCCTCTGTACCAATCTTAATTAACGTTCAATCGTTTTTATTTTAGTACTAGCATTGCCCGCGGCTCCGCCTGCGTTCTGGTGACCAAAAACCAAATTCTTTGGTTTTACATATTAGTATACTCTTACATTGCAATTTTCGTATTTTTTTTCAGAAATGAGATATTTTTCCAGGATAAAAAGTATCCTATATGTTGACCCGGGTATCACCATACCAAATTTCATCAAAATCCCTTTTCTGTGATGCGTAACAGACAGACAGACAAAAATTCTAAAAACTATAGATTCGGCTTCTGTATCAATAATAATGACTATTTCAATAAGATTTTTCGAAAAATATTTTTAATGTACAGATTCGGCTTAGTTATAATTTTATTAATTATATTATTATATTATTAAAAAGGCTTAAAAAAGAGAAAAAACCTTCTTTATATGGTGAACTATAAGCCTATACCATTTCTACTAAGGTGGTTTTTGTTCATATTAGCATATCAATTAAAATAATCTTTTTAATAGCTTTGCTAATAAGAATTTAGCTCTAGCCCATTATACTCATAGTACATATATTCTATTAAACCCAGTTTGAATAACTGTTATGTACCTACTGGCATTAGTCTATTTTAATTAATTTAGTGCGTTATTATACATTACCTAGAAATACGTACATATACATATTACATATATAACAAAGATTGAAAAATCTTACAAATTAATTTTACATATTATCTACCAATATTTTTTTTACCTCTTCAATAAATGTATTAATACAAAAATTACAATTTTACATTATATCTTAAGTTGTACAAGAGTAATAACATTTTTGTAAAATTTGGTAATGAGGTATTTTTTTTATTATAAAACATTTACAATTAACATATTAGTGTTATTAGTGTTATGTAGAGTCCAATGACAAAACAGAGGAAACAAGATGGATCATTCTAATTAGCATGGATAAGAGTTCCAGTGTTTATTAAACTTCGCTTTATGATACAAAACCTTTTATAGGGGAATGTGGTAAGCTCTAGGGAAGGCGCTTGCGGAAACGCAAAACAATCTTAATACCGGTGTCAAATAAATTAGTTGTTAATTGATAAGTAAATAATTAAGTTAATATATTAAATACTTTATATTATATATTTAAGTTATAGTTTGATTGTATAACCATGTTGTGAGGTTGTAAATAAAGGCAATAAATTAAAAAAATATATACAAATAGAACTCACCTCCTAAAGCTGTCGCGGTGAGGTTATTAAGCATGGCCTCTAAGGCCCAACCAAGCCCGCCCCCTATACCGACATCGTATTATCACTTCCGCACTAATTTTGACTAACACTCAACAAAATCACTCAAAACACTAACTTAAGCTCTATATTCGGCTATCCGACCTTTGCAGTTGAGCATCTTAATAGTTTCTTATCACAGTCCAGAATTTGTCACATTCGCGGTCCGGAAACGGAAGGATATCAGCAAAAAGCCGCCTTAACACAAAATAATTAACGCTGTATTATACCCAATTAGTTTTAATTACGACTCCGCTCAACTTATTTACACACTTAATTTTTGTTATAAAATTAATGTAACCCGTTTAGTATCAATTTGTATAAATTTGCAGTTTGATTGGTTCGCCCTTAAAATGATCGTTTAATGTGGAAACTCGCCGACGACTGGTACAAAACAGATAGTCCTCACATTGTTGTCCAGATACCGTTCAAAAGACGAGCAGACACACGTATATCTGTCCCTCTCGCACTCGCACAACCCCGTAGAGTTCCATAGAGACAAAGTCGGTCGCATCAGTAATGGATGTTAACATTTTGTTAACGGCCGATTTGAACAAACGAATAATCTATTATTTCATTCGTGCACATATTATTGATACGACACTCTACAATATTAAAGCTGGCATCTAGCTATCCCGTTCTGGCTCACTCTTGTGGAATATTAAACGAATGTATCTATCTCTTTCTTTATCGCGATTTGGGTATTTTGTAGAGCGGTAGAGATGTTTCGACCAATGGTAGAGCTGGAAAATCACTTCGATACAGGGCCGGCCTAAGTGTGATATTGAAATATAATGTGTATAGTTAGCTCAGGGCGTTTCGTTCTTTTGTAATGGAAAAAACAAATACAGCGTGATATAGCGGTATAGCAATGTAGCGCTATAGGTAGGGTAAATAGGACTATTGGAAATATTTCAGAGCTTGAGTGCGATATCTTGTAGCGTCTCCGGTTTTCGGACGTCGTTGAATAAGGAATGCGTTTTGTATAGTATTTTTTTTTATTTCAACTTAATTTTCTTTGGTGTTCGGACTTTTTTTGTTATTAACGTCTGTGACTCTTGTACTTATAAGCGGATACAAGAATATCAAAATAACAAAAATATTTTTTTTTAAATAATATTTATTTCTTTTTGTTGTATTTTAACGCAGTTACTTTAAATACCAATTACAATAAGACAGATTTCATAATCAATAAATAACTGTATCAAAAAAAATTAAATTACTGATTATCAGAAATTCCAATAATAGCTTTAACATAGGACGTACTTATATTGCATTTTTAATATTACCTCTACATGATGCAGAACACAATAAATATAATTAAGAGTATAAAATCTACCCTCGAATCTTTTTCTCATTAAAACGAGTAAAGCTCTACTTTTGATAGCTAATCGTTTCTTTGAATTCTTATTTCTATCCAACTAGTTAAATACAATTAAGTCTTGGTTGCTAACAAATTTAATTAAACTGTTATATGAGTTACTTCTACTGTATAAATAAATTTAAAAATACACAAGTATATATGTATTTAATACTAGCGACTTACCCCCGTTTCACTCGGGTGCCTCCCTAGATACGTTCTATTTTTTTTTCTAAAATAAATGTACCCTAAGTTATTCCTTATAATATCAGCTATCTACCTGCGAAAGTCCCATCGAAGTCAGGCCAGCCGCTTCGAAGATTAGCTGGAACAAACAGACAAATAGACAGACATTTTTTTTTAAATTTTGTATTTTTTATAAGTGCCGTATATAATTTCATATGCATTTAGTAATAAGCTGTTATTTTTTAATAACTTTATATCTTAATTCGTCGATGCTATTTTTCTCTTTTTAATCTGTCTCTAAATAATATTTTTCGAATAGAGGTTACACACAATAGAGGTAAGCCAATAAATATAATATTGCATTTAAAATATTAGTAAGCAAGTACCTAATAAATGTAATGCACTGTGCATTACACGACTTATTAAATGATAAAAAACTACATACAAATGAACGAACCTCGTCTTCCATTGAAGTAAAAACTGTTTTTCATATTAGATTATATTTAGAGGATATAAAATATTTTGAGAGCTTTTTACATATTTCTATTATTAATGATAAACTCTACATTTCATACATAAATTTAATCTTGGAATTTCTGCATGAAATTAAATTTTTCGAGAAGAATCCTTTTTATTCTAATTTCAATGGTTTTAAATCCTGTAGGTTTACATACACATATTCGTATACTTAGCTTGACTCTAGGTACTCTATATATTTCACATTTATGTATCAAACCCACCCTACCAATTACTGTGTAGTATCTCTCAGGAATGTAGATTAAAAATACCTGCTTTGAGCGTAGTAGAGTCTACAGGTATATTGCGCTACGAGAGCCCGAGAAGAGGGAGCTTTGATGCAAACTTTATAACAGTCTGATTTGAGTTATAATACGTCATTCGTATTAAATGAAAACGTAAGAATTTAATATAATATGTGGAAACAAAATTTTATTAAATTCACAATAATTCTGTTTTAATATACTTATTTTATATAAGCCATTTTAATTAATTTATTTAGACAACGTAACATTTATTAAAAAACCTGGGCGAAGCTTGTTTTTTTTTTTGTAAAATCGTCTTCGGAATAGTTGCGGTTTTTTAGAAAAGATGTCTACCGATATAACTTCAAAAACAACACCTTATCTAATAACCAAGTTCGGTCCAAATCCAAAACTATTGATTACCATAGAATACAAATACTCGTATATCTATACATATAATAAAACTAAGTCGAATCTGTACATTAAATATGTTTTGGAAAATTTTATTGAAATAAACATTATTATCGATACACAGGCCGAATCTACAGTTTTTAGAATTTTTGTCTGTCTGTCTGTCTGTCTGTTACCGTATCACAGAAACACCACTGGAGGGATTTTGATGAAATTTGGTATAGTTATAGCTGAGTATCCGGGTCAACATATTGAATACTTTTTATCGCGGGAAAGTATCTCATTTATGAGAAAAAATACAAAAACTGCAATGTAAGAGTATTGTGTTAATGTGTTCAGATGACCAATAACCAAAGAATTTGGTTTCTGATCATCTGAACGCGGGCGGAGCCGCGGGCAATACTAGTTCAAATATAAATGCGAAAAAAGAGAACAAAAATATAAAATTTTGATTATCGAACAAGTATATAGTATTCATTAAATTAATTTATACACACATATTATATAGGATTCATTAACTAGAAACTGACTTTGGCTTCGCTCGGGTGCATCTGTAGGTGCCTAACAGAAACCTATGTATGTGTTTCTCGAAATCAAAATCTATGTTTGTAACCCATTTCATTCAGATTGGTCCAGCCGTTTAGCGTGAAGGAGTTACAATCATACACACATACATACAAACTTTCTCATTTATAATACTAGACCATTCTACACAAAGCCCGTGTAATTGTAGCAAGTTTATTCATTAATAAAGCAGGATCTCCATTCACTCAACAGATTAGCGCTAATGCGTCTTCAGCGCCATTAAGTTGCCAGTTACATCGAACGGCTATTTACGTTTACTGCTGAGAAGTGACTTTGATTAAGTGGAAATTGATTTAGAACACTTTGCTCAATATTTCATTTTTCCATATACTTAACTAGTGACTTACATCTGCTTCGCTCGAGTATATCCTTAAATGTATTTTGTATTTATAATAATAATGCAGTATACAGTATACAGAAAGTGGCAAAATTTGCGATTTTTTCTAGTTTTAGACATTAGCTTATCTGTTACTCCAGTTCTTAGTTCTTACTAAATTTCAGTCAAATCCGTTGAACGATTTTAGCGTGAATGACTAATAATAACATGATAATATTTAGCGTGAACAATACAAACATACAAAGGGGAGCGAGCACGCACGCAAGCACGAACGCGCGCACATGCATAAACAATTTTTTAATGAAAATTGAAAGTTTTTTTGGACTGACTGAATCTATCTATCTGTATCGTTTTTAGGTCATGCTTGATAGGATTCCTAGTGACCCTAGCGCATCATAGCAGAATACTGCGATCGACTGCCAGTACAGATGATAGAATAAAGCATTCCATTTCCTGTAAGATTGTAACCGCAATAGATTCAGCACAATACAGACGATCATCCGACGAAAAGCCTATCTCCACCTCCATGGGTATTATAAGTAAAATTCTCGCAAGCCATTACAATCTGCTGACTTGTAGTGCCATACTTGCGGCATCCCACGTGGGTGACAATAAGTGCATGGCGTATCCGGCAATGTTCAAATACCCAGGCAGATATCCGATAGTTATCAGGGTATGTAGTCAGTAAAACATCAAGTAAGGAAAGCGTAATATGGTCATCAATATCTGGTACTCGGGTGGGTTCAGATACTAACTGTGAGAATCACACGTCAATGTAAATTTAAAGGTAATTCTCCCTACGTAGTGTCTAGATTCGCGATCCTAAACAATCATGAAGGAAGCATTAAAATTCCCAAGGATCACTATCTCGATATCGCTGGAGCAGGAAATGTGTCGCTTCAGCGCGGTCAGCGGTTCACCGTTTCATCGGGTCTCCCTGGACGCCATGCCAACACAACACTTTTAAACAGATGGGACAAACATCATCACAGTAGGTACTTACTGGTCCCAAGGCTTCCGAGAATATCAGCATTAGGGGAAAAGGGGATTTGCTTACATGTCTACGACTGGAACATATCCAAAGACGTTTTGCGATCGAGTACAACATGACATGATCGCAAGCCAGTCGATGGCAGTGTCCTCTACCACCATACTGGCATGGGTTACTCGCCTTTTACGAGACACTCACACAAGAAACGTATTCCAAGCCCGTCTAGCTACGTATAGATTTAGAAAGCTCACATAAAAATGTCAACTATATATCTTATGATTTATGAAGTGAATGGTTATAAGTAATATAAACATATTTTTATAATTCTTTAAAAACTGATAGTCTT